CCTGTCGCTAGAGCTGGGAATGATGTGGTTATCACACTTCCTGAAAATTATGTTACTTTGTATGGGAATGGAAGCACGGATGATCACGTAAGTGTGTTGTGTTCTTTTGTACAATGTTTGTGGTATGGTATGGCCGGCACGGTACGGTACGGTACGGTACGGTACGGTACGGTACGGTACGGTACGGTACGGTACGGTACGGTACGGTACGGTACGGTACGGTACGGTATGGTATGGTATGATATCTAGAAATATTAGAAAGCGTTTCTCTTATCTAGGGCATAAAAACATACGAATGGAGCAAAAGCCCACTGAGTCCAGCTTGTGATATGCAGGTATGAGATCATTCCATTTTACTATTTTAATAGCCAGCATTCCCAGCGTAAGGTCTGATAATCCAAATGTCATTTTCACAGGGAAGTACGGGTCCGGTACTTCATGTTTCTAACATGATAGTGGGCGATTATTCTTTCACGCTCAAAGTGACCGATTCTGGGGGACAAAGTTCCGAGTCTAAAGTGACGGTGGTAGTACGGCCTGAAAAAAATTCTCCTCCAGTGGCAAAAGCCGGAGACGATAAGGATCTTGTGATTCCTGACGACAGCACGACGCTGAGTGCTAGAGAGAGTAATGATGACCAGGAGATAACTAGCTACAAATGGGAGAAAATAAGGTCAGTCTCATTAAGCTCGTTAAGGATCATCTCTTATTGATCCAGTGTTACTACAGGAGAAAACCAGACTAAACTAACTTTATTTATACTGGATAGCTCTATCAGTTCTAAACTGTTCTTCCTAGAGGTCCAGTGAGGATCATCTCTTATTGATTCCATTTTACTGGAAGAAACCGAACTCTTGCTATAGTATATTTATAAGCTGTTTCCATCCATTATTCTAGCGGTCCTTCATCAGTGGTTATGACAGGAGCAAACAAGATGGTTCTGAACTTGTCACAGTTAAAAGAGGGGCACTACAAGTTCAAGTTGACTGTAACAGATAACAAGGGTCTCACAGGGACTGATACAGTGTCTGTTAATGTCAAGAGAGGTACGTTTTTCACGTACACGCATCACAATCGTGCAATTTAGTGAAATCGTAGCAATCTTTCATTTCTTCAGACGGAAACAAACCTCCACGAGCCAACGCCGGCCCGGATGTCTTTGTTAAGCTTCCAAATCGTGCGGCCGCTTTGGACGGCTCGAGGTCTTCTGATGACTATGGAATAATTAAGTACACATGGATACGAGACTTCAAAAGCCCTGCTGCTGGTGTAAGTTTCATTCTTAAAAAGAAACTGAGTTTATATATATTGGATAGCTCTATCAGAACTTTAAGCTGTTCTTCCATTAAGGATCGTCTTTTATTGATCCAGTGTTACTACAGGAGGAGACCTAAACTAAACTAACTTTATTTATACTGGATATAGCTCTATCAGTTCTAAACTGTTCTTCATTCTATTCGTGTTTCTTTAGGATGTGATAAATGGCAGCAACCATCAGCCTGTTTTAAGGCTCTCAAATCTTGTCAAAGGTGTCTACAAGTTCCGATTAACTGTGGCAGACGCCAAAGGATTAGAATCTCATGATGAAGCTAAAATAATCGTCAAAGAAGGTTTGTACGTATATCCCATTAATAGCAACGAGGAGTACACTCACACACATTGAAACCTTATGCCACAACTAGCATTGAGGGAACATGAACCAATCAAATGCGTTCAACCTATTAGATCGACAAATCACAAGTGCGATAGATTAGCGAGAGGAGGGAACATTATCCAATCATATGCGTTTAGACTATCGTATCGACCAATCACGAGCTCTGCAAAATACCACATACAGTAGATGGCGTGAAGGTTGGATTTCAGCCTTGCCATAATTTTTTATTTCTTTGGGTGATATTTGATAAAACTCTCGGCCGAGTGAAAGTCGCTATAATCGTTGATTCAAATGCCTAAAGTACATAAGAAAGCTTCTCGGTCGACCAAAAACCATTCCTCAGGAGAGTTGCTATGAGCGAAAATATGCAGAGTTTTAAACACAGCTGTGTGTAATTTGATTTGCAGACGAAAACAGTCCAAACCTGGTCGAACTTTACCTTGATGTCGACGTGACGTCTTTCACTGAAGAAAACAAGGTATGTAGCTATATAGTTCGGACGAAGACTGCATACTTGACGTCATATAGTAGCGTATCTTCTTACAAGACAATGTTTATTCTTTTATTACTTTTCCTAGCGTCAACTGGTTAGAAAACTTGCTGTGACTCTTAATGCACAAGACAAGGATATCATTATTGAACATATTCAGCCATCCGGCCGTGGAAGAAGGTTAGTTAGAATATAAACATTCATTTTATTCACATTCATTTTATTCATTTTATTCGTGCTAAAAGAATCTCGAAAACTTAGCCATTACTGTAGAAAGTACACTGTAAAGCTTTTTTTTTAGTCTTTTGCCGATAGTCTTTTCTTCTAAATTTCCGTCAAAATCATCTTTGAAACTTCTTCTGGTATTTCAACCATAAAACATTCATCATTCCTATTATAATAGTGTTTAAAACAGATGTTTATCTAGATCCTACTGCATGTTTGTGAGCATGTTTGTGAGTGTGTGATGAATTTGGCTTGTAAATATAACTAAGTTTACGTTTAAAATTAGGTTCTTATAATGTGTCTTGAGATAACTGTTGTGGATCAAATTTTTCTGGAAATTTTCGATACCACCGGGCGCCAGTGATTTGGCGTTCATTCGTTGTTAACGCATACCGCGTCAGATTCTATCACTTGAAACGTATCAAAACTTTCATCATCGTGTCATATTTTAATGAGTCAAAACCATGCGACAACCACAGCATAAGATAACTTTGTATTCATTCCCAAACACTCCCTTGAAAAATCGGAATAAAGAAAAAAAGCATCGGAAAGACAACAAAGTAACTTTGTATTCTGTTGAATATACACGTCGATTTGAAGTGCAGTGTGCGAATTTTGAAGAAAATTGATGATATATGTAGAAAGAGTTAATTCGTGTTTAAAAAGTTTGTATACATACGCATGTCGAGTGTATCTATCATAGATATTTACAATATTTTCAGAGAAATAGAGGTTTCTAATAGAGTAATAAAATAAATTCTAAATAGAGTGAAAAGAGGCCTTTTTCAATGAAGAAATGGACTCATTAACTAAGAACTTGTTTAAGTGTCCATTCTCCGATGGAAATCGGTCTGGTATCTGTCAATTTTAAGAAATGCTTTCGTGTATACGTAACATTATATTTTGTTATTTTTTCTTAGTTTGGTGATATTGTTCTATGTACGAGACAGCTTAATACATCAGCCGAGAAATGGCAAGGATATCGCTTATTTGTTGAGACAAAAACTCAACGACAATTTTTTTGAATTCAGAATGCAAGAGGTCGAACCTTACGGTAAGTACTATAGCTTAAAAGATTTACTTACGGAAGAATATTCGTAATCTATTTTATTCCTCTGTCTTTTAAATGTCTAAAACATTTGTACTAAATCGTCGTTACTGTAAACAAACATGGCGCTGAAATGCCCAAGACGAATCAAGCTCTGTAAGAGCTAGGCATTATAATATTTGCATTGAATGCTTTTTAAATTCAATATAAACTATTCCTTGTTTAGTTTGCAGAAATAATTGTTCGGGACATGGAGTTTGCGACCAACACACAAAACAATGTATTTGCCAGAGTTTCTGGATGCAAGATCCTTTTAAAGCAAGCTTTGGGCTTCGTGAAAGCAACTGCGGTAAGCCAAAAACACTTGATCTGTTGAACCGTCTTGCAATTTGTGGTTGTTATACAGCTGGTTCCCGCAGCTGGTCAACGTCTTTGACAAAAGAATACAATTTATTCCAAGTTTATCCCAGCCTGTTTTCGCACAGCTCCCCCGTTTGTATCAGCCTATGTATGATTTAGAAGGATGATACTACACGGTAACGTTTTCGATCATTTTCACATTCGTTTTCATTCCAAAACGGTTTCAAACACCGTCAGTTTACATACAATAGAAGTTGAACCTAATTTAACATATTGAACATATTTTTCCTCGGATCGTCTAAACAATAAAATAGACAAAAACGATGCTCGTGTGCACGTAGCCTTAGATATAAAATTCTGTTCTCTCCAAAGTGCCTTATAATATCGTTGTTTTTCTGTTTAGACTGGAGTATTCTTTATGTGACGGTGATAATCTTCGCCGTCATCGTAGCGATTGTCGGAATCACATGGGGCGTTTGTTTCTGCATGGGCAGGTATGTTTCTAGTTTCACTAACCGGGATTAATGGCATGCATAGAGGAAATGCTGGAGTACATTCATTTTTCCTACCACTGGAAAGTTAAGCGTACTGATCTGGGACCGGAGAATGTCAGGTCATCACATGCAGACTTATAATATGAGCTCATGCATTGTGCGATCCAGTTGGGATGATGCCTGCAGTATCAACACCATTCATTCACCTTTAACAACATTCATTTCTCATTCGCAGCATCGCCTAAATTTAATTGTTTGTTTCAGAACAAGGAGTCGTAGACGGAAGCATCAGTATTCCATCATTGGTGATGAGGATAGTGAAGATGCAAAAAATGCGACAATGGAACTATTTCCACGAGGTAAATTTCCCAAAAAACAAACCTTAAAGGCCCTGTTACACGGTGCAATTTTTCTTTTGAAATATGTAAATTTTGCAACCACCAAACTTTTGTCTTTATTATATTCCATGGCGTTTCTTACACATTTTGAGGGCTCTTCACTAATTTACATCTCTTATAAGTAGAATTGCATTGCAAGTTGCAAAAAAATTGCACCGTAGTCGCTGCTAAAGTTACCTGTTATCTTAAAGCAAAATTGAAGAAGCTTATAATTACTGTAGGGAGAGAAGCTTGCGAAAACTTTTCCATTCATAGCATCTCGATTGCCAAAAAACGGTTTCTAGAAGTGAGAAGACGTCTCTTCAACCCTTACAGTAACGCCTTTTTTCTGCTTTAGATAAATTTCTCAACTCGAGCATAATGAGTGAGACAGATATGGATTCGGACGAGGAGACTTTGTTCGAAAATCACAAACCTTTTAAACCAGGAAGGACATCTCAAATGAATGGAATGCTTAATGGCGGGAAAAAGAAAAATCATCACACCTGACCCATTATTATATATTTTAGACGAGAAATTAAATTAAGGATAAGATTAACAGTTAGTTATGATAAAATTATTTAAATGAAATTATATTGTAAAAATAATATTAATTTCTATAAAAACCCCAAGACTTTGGTAAATATGCGGGGTTCTACAGTTAATCGTATAAAAGTTTCTAAGCTTTTGAGCAACAAACCTTTTAATCAGAGCATGAATATTAATTAATAATCACTCTAAGAAAATTTCCCGAAGAGATTGTTTTCACCTCCCAATGAGGCATTTCAGTCACAAATAACTATAATAACTGCTGTCACTTTGATTCCCACGCTGACTGTTCAAGGTTTATGGTTTGTAAACGTATGGTACGAAGAATGTTTTTCAATAGAATTTGGAATAAAAAAAATAAAGTAGAACGAAAACACAGTTTTTTGTCCGAAGGACGAATAGTCTAGTTGAGAACAATTGCCTCGACAATGCCATCTAATTTAAATATCTTGCATCGAGAAAATGTTTTCATCATCACCCCAAAGAAAAGATTTAGGTAAGATAGAAAAATACAGCTGTGGGTGTCGAGAGTCGACAATCCTGGTAAGAATGTTTTTCATTAGGTCTATGGTTTTTAAGGGCCGTTGTGATGGTGTAGTGGTTAAGACAGGTGACTGGTAAGTTCAGAGGTGGTGGTTCTAGCCTGTGGTGGGAATAAAAGAAAAAAAAGTGAAAATAGTTTTTGAGTGGAAGTGTTGGAAGAAAGGTTTAAGTGTGTCAAAAGATGTATGGATTTCAAGAGCAGTCATGATGGTGTAGTGGTTAAGACAAGTGACTGGTAAGTTGACAGGTGGTTGCTCAAGCCTATGAAGGGCCAAGAGATGAAAAAAAAATAGGAAAAAAAGAAAAAAAACTGGAAAAAAAACTACTTTGACTTCACTTCATTAAAAATACAAAACAATCGCACCGTAACCATTAGCTGAGATTTTACTAAGAAAGTGTTAAGTAATATAGAAAAGGTGTAGCGGAAGAATTTTAATTTAATTTAAAATTCTTCCGTCGCAAAGTATTAGGTCAAATAAAGAACAATAGGCTTTCGACAAATGACGCGGTGGTCTAGTGGTTAAGACCTTGGTCTGTCAATCCTAAGACCAATGTTTCAAGTCCTGGTAATGCAAAGAAAATTAACCTTAAAAATTTCGGTATGATTTGAAACTTAAAAAAGTTAGGACTTTCAGTCTTCAAAAATGCTTGTAAATTTGAAAGAAATTGGAAATAAAAAAAATTGAGAAACCTTTGAAAAATTTTCGGTTCATAAAAGTACGTGAAATTGATGAAAATACGCAAGTCAAAAAATGTTTAAAAACATGTGTCTCCTAAAAAGGTTGAAAATTAAAACATGTCCGACTAACAACTTTAAAAAAAGTTTAAAAATTTCCCGTCTTTAATGCTAATGTTTACTTACCTTAATAATTTTTTTCACGAAAATTTGCCAGGGTGATTTTCTCGAGACTGAAAAAATTTACTTTTTTTCACTTTTTGGAAATTCTCTTAGATTTCTTTTTGACGAAGAAGTATTTTGTCTTGGGCTACCTGTGTTGGTCTTGGGCTACCTGTGTCAGGACCAACACAGGTAGCCCAAGACAAAATACTTCTTTGTCAAAAAAAAAAATCTAAGAGAATAGAAAAAAAATTAGAGAAAAAAAACTAGAAAAAAAAACTAGATAAAAAGAAAAAACTAAAAAAAACTAGAGAAAACTAACTAGAAAAATAGAAAAAAAACTAGAGAAAAAAAACTAGATAAAAAGAAGAAAAAAATAGAAAATAAACTAGAGAAATAGAAGAAAAAAATAGAAAATAAACTAAAGACCACAAGACAAAAATCAAGTTTCTTCTTAAACTTTTCAAAAGACATTTAGAAAATACTTAGAGAAAAACATTAAGTAGAAAAATAGAAAAAAAACCTCGAGAAATAGAAGAAAAAACCAGAGAAAAAAACTAACTAGAAAAACTTGAGAAAAAAACTAGAGAAAAAAAACTAGAGAATAAAAGACAAGAGAAAATGGAAAAAAACTAGAGAAATAGAAGAAAAATAGAGAAAAAAAACTAGAGAAATAGAAGAAAATACTAACAGGTTTAAATTAGAAAAACTACTAAAAAATACTAAGAGGTTTAATTTAGAATTGTCAAGTCACACAGAATCTTGCAAAAATTAGAGAAAAAAACTAGAGAAAAACATTACGAAAAAACTAGAGAAAAAAACAATGTAGAAAAATAGAAAAAAAACTCGAGAAATAGAAGAAAAAACCAGAGAAAAGAAAACTAACTAGAAAAACTTGAGAAAAAAACTAGAGAAAAAAAACTAGAGAATAAAAGACAAGAGAAAATGGAAAAAAACTAGAGAAATAGAAGAAAAATAGAGAAAAAAAACTAGAGAAATAGAAGAAAATACTAACAGGTTTAAATTAGAAAAACTACTAAAAAATACTAAGAGGTTTAATTTAGAATTGTCAAGTCACACAGAAAGAACTTGCAAAATAAAAACACTAACACCATAAGACGAAAAAGGTTTATTTCTTAAACTTTACAAAGAAAAAAGGTTTATAAATCCAAGTTTTGAAAATTGTCACATAATTTATCACATTTCACACTAAAAAATATTAATTAATGAATCTGGGTGCCTTTCAACTTTCTTCAACACTAAAGAAAAAAAGAATTTCATCAAAAAAATAATAAGAGAAAATATATTTAGAAAAAATACTAATACTAAGAAGAAATTAAAGAGAAAAGAAGTACGAGAAAAAGCCAAAAGCAACTGCTAAAATATTTTCAATTGTGAAAAGCACAGGGAAAAACATGCAAAATCAAAACACCAACACCACCAGACAAAAAAGGTTTACTTCTTAAACTTTAAAAAGAAAAATTTCTCTTTATAAATCCAAGTTTTGAAAATTGTCACATAATTGATCACATTTCACACATGTTATCACACACTAAAATATATTAATTAATGAATCTAGGATAGGGCTAAAATAATTCAGGTTCTTCTGGGGTGCCTTTCAACTTCATTCATTCTAAAGAGAAAAAGCATTTCATCAATCCTTTTAGGCAAAAAGTTTGTATTTTCAACCTGACATCATTATTAAAAGATATTACTCATTATCTTACTTTAGTCATCTTTCATGGATAGACAATACATTCATGAATGCATTCTGTTTTATGCCAATCATATTTTTGCCATTTTCAATAAAAAGAATGTGTCACATGCATATATTCAACCCAGACATATGTCACTATTTAATTTGAACACAGAAAAACTGGGTACCACCCTTCTGAGTACTACAGAATATAAATCACACGGAAATCAGAAAAATTTCTCCCAAGTTTAAAATAGTAATTGCTGGTCTTTTTCGTGGATATTTATTGTAAGACAGGAATTTTAGTAATTAGCGAGACTGGTTCACCTGTTAAAGCATTAAGTTTCATCATTGGTTTCACGCATGGTGACCATAGAAGCAAATTACAATTTCATTGTTGTCATCTCAACAATGTAGTGGCTTTTTAAAATCAAATGCTGACCAACCATGACAAAATCAAATTACCTCAGTGCAGATATCTTGCTCACTTTCCAATCAATGTACATTTGACAGTAAAGTTCATATCCACAGCAGCTCATGTGGCTGGTTGCACTCTTGACCAAGGAAAATCTTGAATATATAAAGAAGACATTATTAATACAAAATTTCATTTTCAACTATCTTAATTATTGTCTAGTTTTTCGTCAGGTATTCTATGGTTACTTCATCCCTCTATATATAACTATGGTTGCTATATTTATTCAAAGACCAGCACAGGAATTTATTACTGGTGACACATAGTGAGTATAGAAGCAAAGTTCACTTAGTAATCTTAACAAAATTGTGACTGCCTGACGATTTTCATGAAAAAGATCCTAGTTGCAGCAAATTCCCCCTTATAATAAATAACAAAATATATATCCGGGCAGTTGATATGTATTACAAAGTCACTACAAGAATTTCAGCTGCAAGGCTAATATAAATTTTAAAGGAACAATCAAATTACCTCTGTGCAGAAATCTTGTTCATTTCCAATGTTCATCTGACAGTAAAGTTCATATCCACAGCTGATGTTGCACTTTTGACCAAGGAAAATCTTGAATATATAAAGAAGACATTATTAATACAAAATTCAATTTTCAACTATCTTAATTATTGTCTAGTTCTTTGTCAGGTATTCTATGGTCACTTCATCCCTCTATATATAACTATGGTTGCTATATTTATTCAAAGACCAGCAGAGGAATTTATTACTGGTGACATGTAGTGAGCAAAGTTCACTTAGTAACCTTAACAAAATTGTGACTGCCTGACGATTTTCATGAAAAAGATCCTAGTTGTAGCAAATTCCCCCTTATACTAAATAACAAAATATATATCCGGGCAGTTGATATGTACTAAAAGGTCACTACAAGAATTTCAGCTGCAAGGCTAATAGTAAAATACCTAACTTTGACCAGACAACACAACAATCTTGCTCAGAAAGGTCCGGGAACGGTCCACGTGGATGGTTTTCTTCGGCATCGCCATTTTGAATTCGGCCGGGCGAGTCTTGAACTGATTTCAATTTCAACTGTTCTCTTGACGTTCGTCTTGATAACTGGCTGTTGAGATAAACGTTAATTACAAAATGTTCAGTTCTGCTTCAGTCTATGGGTGCGGAAATTGCTCATGACATAAATTTTCAGTAAAAAATTATCATCATTGCAGGCAAAATTAAGCTCGAAACTTTAGATAACCTTGTACGAAGAATATTTCATATTGTATATGTTTTTTTGTTATTTCTGGCCGACAATTAGCAGAAGGCACACAAACATCAAAGTAAAATACTTAACTTTGACCAGACAGCACAACAATCTTGCTCAGAAAGGTCCGCGAACGGTCCACGTGTATGGGATCGCCATTTTGAATTCGGCGGCCGGGCGAGTCTTGAACTGATTTCTATTTTTTATTTCAACTGTTCTCTTGACGTTCGTCTTGATAACTGGCTGTTGAGATAAACGTTAATTACAAAATGTTCAGTTCTGCTTCAGTCTATAGGTGCGGAAGTTGCTCATGACATAAATTTTCAGTAAAAAATTATCATCATTGCAGGCAGAATTAAGCTCGAAACTTTAGATAACCTTGTACGCAGAATATTTCATATTGTATATGGCTTTTTGTCATTTCTGGCCAACAATTAGCCGAAGGCACACAAACATCAATATAAAATACTTAACTTTGACCAGACAGCCCAACAATCTTGCTCAGAAAGGTCCGCGAACGGTCCAGGTGGATGGTTTTCTTTGGCATCGCCATTTTGAATTTGGCCGGGCGAGTCTTCGCATTCATCTTGACAACTAGCTGTTCAGATAAACCTATATACAACGAAAAAAAAGGGTTCGGCTCAGCTACACTGTACTCCTTAAGGAAGGCCTACGGCCTTCCCGTAGATTAGTGTAAAGGCCTACAAGTGGGAACTAGCAGCGTGCGGGGGACCAAAACGCTCTAGGCAAACGGTCCCCCTACTGGGGTCGGACAAAGCAACCGCAGATTACGCATATAATCGCCGGAACCCACCTTTTAGTCAACGGCGAACTCCTTCTTCCTCGAACAATCTTCAATCTTGCTGAGCTTCGATCTTGCTGTCCACCTTCACTTATCCTTCACTTTTATTTGATTCAATCTTTATATTAATAGGAACATTGCTTGGGGCAATGAAATTTGGAGATGTTATTCCTTGGGATGGAGATGCTGACATATCTAATATCCACATTGAAAAATTCAATCCGTCTGTTCAAAAATTCTGAGAAAAACTGAGTGTTTTATTAATGAAAACTAAGGATACCACATGAAACCATTATCCACTTTTATCAAACAGCAAAACATCTGTGAAAATTGCTTCTATGATAATGCAAACTCCAACAAAATTGTTAAAGCGAAGTACATGCGTGTCGAGTACTGTAGCTCAATGTGGTTATTGTGGGATTATTACTTGCTCACTAGTCACTACGACTGCGCCAGCGTTTCTTTGTACTAAATTAATTCCACTTTTTATATTGTTTATAATGTCATTAATATCATTATATATGGACGAACAAAATAAGCGCGACACGGGAGTATCACGTGCAAGTCAAAGTCTGGGCCGCCCATGCCTTCGCGCATGAAACCTGCGGTAAACAGCTTCTTCCTCACCAAATTATGAATTTCAGACGAATTTACACTTCTTTAAGACGCTATCTATTGCGATACACTTGGCGCCAAATAACTAAACTTATTTGCTTCATATTTTTTCTGACCATTATTTTGTTACATTTTGTGTTATTACCCGCCGTGACAGGGGCATACAACGACGATTGTTACCTAACCGACAACAAATTAAACAATCTTCGTCATATGATACTTACATCTGCAAAACTGATGGAAAAATATAAAATGACCTATTGGCTAGATTTTGGTAAGCCAACATATTAATGTACATTAATTATCAGCCAGGTAATATTCTGTAATGTATACCTGATTGCAATGTAAACAAAGGTACAATTATAGATTAGAATACCCTGCCAATAATGCATTATGTTAAAGATCTGTTAGAGGATCAATTTTAGAGTATAGAATTGCCCCGTTCTTTAAAAAAGTGTTTATTCTTGTTCTCTGGAGGTCCAATTCATGCATTAAGAAACATAAAACAAGGTACATTTATCTGTAAGACTATATGGCTTTCACTGTTAACAGCTGGGTTGGCAGGGTAGTCTATAATTGCTCCACAGTTAGCCATGAGGCTGTTAATAAACAGCCTCATAGCTAACTGTTTCATATAGCAAGTTTACTTACGACTTGTAGTGAAGTAATCCCATTGTAATCAAGTAATCTCTTTCTTCCCAACATCCTTATCCTTCACTTTAAATTGATTCAATCTTTATATTAATAGGAACATTGCTTGGGGCAGTGAAATTTGGAGATGTTATTCCTTGGGATGGAGATGCTGACATATCTAATATCTACATTGAAAAATTCAATCCGTCTGACATGAACAAAGAATTTGCAACCTACGGTATCCATAGAAACAGTTTGGTTGCGCTAGTTAACCACACACAACTGGACTATTATAGGTGGACTGTGCATGATGGTATATTTAATGGTATTAAACAAAAGGTACTCAAGAAGTATTACCCAAAATGGATTACAGATAATGATAATATTTTTGTAAAGTTGGAGCACAGTCGTGAAACTGTACCTTTGGCATGGGTGGTGCCAACAAAGACAATAGACTTTCTTGGTATTCCTGTTGCAGTTCCAGGGCAATATGAGAGAATGCTTGATGCTCGGTACCCTATGACCTACCGGTACAACATACATACACCGTACAAGTGGAAATGCTGGTTACCCTGTTGGTTAACTGGTGAAAAACCTTGTAAGCGTTATTTCGCCAAAAAATCAAAACAAAACGCAAAACACACTTTTCACTAATTTTTCTATTTGTATACATTTGTAAATTAATTTTCTATTCATGAATTTGTATAAAATTATTCTGGTTATAATCTACAATAACAATAAGAAATATTGTTACTATCATGGATGGAACGACCTACATCAGCAATCATTATCACAATGTGTAAAACAGTTGGTGAAACTCGTCACCTAATCCCTACTTCCCTTGTACTTTCAAGTCCACCACACCTGACTTAATATGTTCACACATTGCTTGTTCAAAACCCTGGGAGCCTAACACTAAAAGCTGCAATAGAACTTTTATCTTCTAAAATTTTGAGAGAAACTATTGAAACATGCTAGGAGCCAATTGTACAAATACTGGTTTTTCCATCACTCTAAAATTACCTGTGTTTTAATTGGTTCAATTTGAATTGAAATTTCCTATTCTTAAAGTAGTGTTTCTCTTTATTTACTTTTGAGTCATTAATGTCAACAATCTTATTACTTTCTAATGATGAAAAAAGTACTCTCTGCTGGATAGACACATCCAGACTTCATACAACTAGCCTCAGAAGATAGACAGTATTTATCAACTTCTGTATGTTCAAAAATTCTGAGAAAAACTGAGTGTTTTATTAATGAAAACTAAGGATACCACTGTGAAACCATTATCCACTTTTATCAAACAGCAAAACATCTGTGAAAATTGCTTCTATGATAATGCAAACTCCAACAAAATAAATGAACCATTCTTTTTCATTATCAAGTTGTTTCCCTCGATGCAGCCACCACTGGGAAAATACATAGATTTTATATATACCGGTATATATATTTTATATTGTATATATACAGGTATATACTGTATCATATGTACTAGCTGTTCATTTCCAAATTTATTTAAAAGAAATATAACAGCAGTACTTACAAGAGCAATTTCCACAAATATATACACATATATACATATAGTATAGTATATATCCAATATAATATATATAAAAATATACTTTATATTGTATATATACTGTACTATATGTACTGTTTATTTCCAAATTTAATTAAAAGAAATATAACAGCAGTACTTACAAGAGCAATTTCCACAAGTGTTATACCTGCAAAACATTAATATACATCAATATTTCATAAAATTATTCTCAACAATGCAGCTGCGAATAATGGCAGGTGAATTTTAGCAGGTACGGTAATGGCAGTTGAATTTTAGCAGGTACGGTTTCTATTAATAAAAAGTGCACTATTATAATACACTTACAGAAAATGCTAAATCCTAACAACACATAAGAAACATGTGTTGAAGCTCCCCGACTCAGGGATATGATAATGGTTATCTACAAAAAACAGCAGAAATTGTTAATACTAGCTACCATATTAAGACAAACTAAGACAAACTAAGACAAACTAAGACAGACTAAGACAAACCAAGACCAGTACTCATAAAAAATTATCAAGAATGTGTCTATACTAGCTTTGAATGTATGTTTTTGAGTAAATTGTATATTGTTGTTGTTGTTGTTCTTGTTTTTGACAACCATACATGAACTACCACTGGAAACCATCCAGGCGAATGATCATTAAAACAAAAATTTCAGAATAGAATATTACTTACCGCAACCATTATTCCCACTATTCCAAAAAATATTATCTTCTTACATCTCTAAAAACCACCGCAAAACTATTGTCAGCAAATGTATAAAATCAACAGGAAAACACATGTACTGGCACAATTTCCACCCTCATGTCATGTGCCTCACCCCTAACCCTGACCAAATTAATTCAACTGCCCTGTTGCAAAGATATTGAGGAGACATGTAAACTGATGGGGTCCACATAATATTAGTCCTATACCATAACCAATAGTACATGGTTCCTGTATATATATATTATAGTAGTCTATATATGACCTCAAATCCTGGTGATTCTTATTTCTCCACTTAAAAATAAACTAATGCATTTCTGAAACCTTATGAAACAACCATTTCTTAATGACTTTTTATCATTAGAAATAAACCGTCCTCTATCTCATAAAATCAAGATCAAAAATTGTATTATTCAATTTTGACCAAACAAAAAAACTTTGTATGGACGACATGCATCATGGAGCGAAAGAGATAGTCATAAAAAAATGATGACTAATAAACTAACCGTTTTTTTCTCGTAGTAATCGTCAGGATACAAAGGCATCTGATCGTTAAAAGCGTTTACATTTTGAATATTCTCCACACCTTCTGTACTATCGTTGTCAATGTCCATGTTTACCGTCCACCCCGAAATCTCAAACCGGAACTAGAATTATGGATGGTCCCGGGGGGGATAAAACAGCGATACCCATTCGCCTTGAAATCGTGAAAATACTTGAAAAAAGCTTCATTTTCCTATATTACGCCTCATTTTCTCGCATATATGTATCGGTTATACCAACGTCGTCACTCAATCCTTTCTTGGTTGAAAATTTGCACAAAATCGTCTCGTACAAACAAAAGTTTCAAGCATATCAAGTCCTGTTGATAAACCCATCACATGACAATTTCACTAACAAAACACGTGCTTTCACCCCCCGGATTCTCTCTGGAATGCGCAAAACGCAGCCGCAAATTTCATCGCATTCTCGCGTTGTGGTCGATTAACAAAGTCCTCTTTAATAAATACAAAAGACAAAATGGATGACAATGATGGACCCTATTATGGAGGGACCAGTCCATTGAAGGTAAAAGTAAATGCACATTGCACAATGAAAGATCATGTACTGTATGCTTTGTTTGTAAAACGCGCCTTTGTAGTTCAAAAACAAAAGCACCAATTATGAACGGTACCATAATATATTGTAAGCCAAATGATAATGAGAATCACGATATTGTATACGAGATTGTGTATAAAACACCTCGAGAACTACAATAATATCAAGGCGGAGCGTCTTCACCGCCTCATAAAATAACAAGTGTGCCTTAGTGGTTGCTTCCTTTATGGCTTCCTTAGTTTAATTACTTCAAGAATAGATCAATATAAATACACACGTTCAAATTCCAAATATTTGCAAGTGAATAAAAACGTACCCTGTTAGTGTTTTTTTACATTCAAGACTTCTTCAGCCCAATTGAAAGAAACTGCAATGTCTCTATGTAACCATTATACCTAATGCAATACAAATACACTAGGATTTCAACTATAGCCATCATTCATAAAACTCTTAAAATTTTCATGGTGAATTTTGCAATTTAATTCATTGATTCCCAGGTACACCATACATGTGTATTTATTATATGCAGATATTTTTGTCCCTTAACCCGCTAGCTGCATGAGCCTTCATCAATTCCACTGATCAAGGCTGCAGTTAACAGACGTAAACCTGGATATCTAGAATCTGATGGTTGAATCCATTAAAGCACAATGTAATTCGTACCAACATAACAATATTCATTTCTACTTTAGTTGTGGCTTTTACGGATCTGGTTCTTGATTACGTTCCTTGCAGTTTCGGTGAGATCTGAATTGAAATTTCACATCACGCTACCTATGATGACTAATATATTTTTTCTTCCAGATTGCATTTATCTTGGGTCTTGTTAAGGCTAAAGATGATCCAGTGCTATATCTACTAGTAGTCAACTTACTAGGTATAAATATGAATAATATAATTATCTAGTCGTATACTTTTATACTTGTAAAAGTATAGCAAGATAATGGCTATCACTAAACATATATTCTCCACCATTTCAAAACTTTTCATTTTTTTACTTTTTAGTGAGTGGAATAATTGGTGCAACTATTGTGAGTTCTGCAAATATTTTATTTTCAATCCTATTTAGTATTGCACTAAGGCCTACTTTGTCATATTTTGCTAACAAAAATTTATCAAAAGAAGGCTGAGACTAGAACAAACTTCACTTCCTAAAACTCAACAAATATTGTATTAATAAAGTCTATTTCTCTCCATAGGCTTGGTGGTTTCATAAGGATAAAATTGTAAGTTTATAAAAAAAATTCCTGCAAAGGTTTAATTTTACCTTCCAATGCGGTTACTCAGGATTCAATAAAGCACAAAATGATTTTGAGGTATTGAAATAAGTCTTTATGAAACAAAACAAAGACATGCTCTTGTCAGAATGACTGTGTCACTTGCCGGATCATGTTATTTACCCATTTTGAATACCTCAAAGTCATTTCATGCGAGACATTTTGAGCCTTACCAGCAAAGTATGAAAATTTTCTGCCTACCTGGTACCTTTTTTTGCAGAAGTCGCAGAGCCTTTGCTTTGTACTTTTTGTTGGCATTTGTATTGTGTTCCAAGCAGTAGTATCTGATGTGTATCTTTATCATAATCCAAACACATCGAGTAATGGAGATTTGAACCCAGTGAATGTGAACAATGCCAGCTCAATAATAAGTCCATCAACTCCTGCACAGCTCATGGCACAAATGACAAATGCAATTCACTAATGACTTATGCAATTATTATGCCATGGCATGGCATATGAAATATGACATTCCATTTTACCAGGTTTTCACTTGAATGTGAGAATCACAAATATACCATAATTGTAGAATATGTAAGTGTCATCTGTGATGATTATATAGAAATTAGAAAAATCCAATCCCCTGTGATTTATAATTAAAGCTATTAAAATTATCAATCTTAACTGGTTGAAGCAAACTTTATTTAGTTGTCTATAATTGTGAAAATATTTTTTCATTAATTTCAAGCAATTACCAGCCCAAAATTTGATGTAATATTTAGACTATTTTTTGAAATCATTCAAAAACAAATTGATATACTCTCTAATTCAAACTGTTCAACTTATCACAAGTTTTGCCAGATTCAAACTGTTCAACTTATCAAGTTTTGCCTGGGAAGCTGCGCTGGTCTAGGAGGAAAAAGCCTTCACAAATTATCACATAAAAAATACGTTTCTCGACTTTATTTATTTGTTTACAATCAATTAAAGAATATACTTCCACTAGTGCAACTAAGAAATTGTTACGTCCATTAAATTCACACGTATCTCAACCCAAAACTAGCTAAACACATGATTCCGCACAACACGAGTCGATTTCTCAGGTCTTCAGAAAGAAATAAGTTTAATTAAAAAATCGCAAATTAGAGTTGCTTTGTCTTCATAGGTTCCAAATTTTCATCAAGGGTTTAGTTTTGTTCGAGGAAATTGAACGGAATCGTGATGGGTTGCCAAATCATGTTTTCTGTGCTAGTGCTATACTTAAATCTTCTAAACACCAACTTTAACCTGGCCTTGCGCTGTATTATTTATTATTTAGACTTTATTCATTAACTGCTACGTAATAAAAGTTCCTCAAACCGTCTAACAATCCCAATATATATACAAGTTAATCAATATGCAAAATATCAACTAATGCTAAAATTACACTTCTTTTTTTCCCACTCATTTTCATTGATTTTCTGTTAAAAATGGCTGAAATAACCTGAATTAAATATTAATCAACTGATCCCATTTTAAGCCGTTAAGCCTAAACTTTGATTAAGATACAAGTACCAAGACTCCACCTACTTTAATTCATAGTGATACTGTAATTTTTTTTGGAATGCTTTTTAGAAATATTTTCTTTCGCTTAGTTGTTCACTCAACTACTTTATTTATAACCTATCGACGCGAACCATGCAACACAGTGCGGATAAACCCCATCATTTGCCAACCGCTCAAGTTTCGCTTAAAAAAAGATAGCAAATTCGCCAAACATTTTTTGCATGAATGAAGTTTGCGTTTTATAAGTTTGCGTTTTATACAACTACATTTCTATTTGAATTTGCAATTTAGCCAATGTACAATAATAAACAGTTTGTGCTTTTTGAGACTACAGCAAGACTCCATTACCACTTACTTATAGAGATCATTAGAACCCAAATACAAACAAACGCGAACTATAGCTTATACTAAATTACTAATCACTTTCTCCCCGTCTACTACTGCCTTGAGCCTCACTATATCGAGATTGAGTAAGGCCGGGTTTACAAAATAATTTTTGTGATTACAGTTAGGATATTGTACCATGCACGTAAATTCTAGAATTTAAAAGCGTTGTACCAGATATTAGGGTGAAATAATTTTTAAATTTTTCTCAATTCAAATACGACCAAATGATTTCAAATATTTCTTGCGTGTAAAATATTTCAACTGTGATCACAAAAAACAGTGTAGACCAGCGTTCTCACTTTTAAGGAAATTTCCTTAAACTAAGGAAATTTTGATCTTATTTCACCTTTTTAAGGAATTGTTTGAGGGTTTTTAAGGAATTGTTTGAGTTTTAACTAATATAAAGCCAAAACAATTTTCCCGCCTTTTTAGTAAACTACACTAGGTCTCAGGCTTCATATCTGGGAACCCGGAGATTTAAGGAAATTTTACTCAATCTGAGGAATTTTTGTCCTTAGTCTAAGGATTTCTAAACAATAGGATGTGAGAGCCCTGGTGTAGACTGGGCCCGGGTTCTACATCAAATTAGCTATCGCCAAGGACAATAGTACAACTCTTTACAAAGCCGCTCGTCAGGAGCCACCCCCTACACTCCAAATTCCCACATACTCGAGAAACTCGGATGAAACTCATATATCTCAGAATTCTCATTGTCAAACATGAAATTAGATTCGCTATTTTTGGTATTTTATTTTACTTCCCAGTGGCTGGACTTGCACCATCCTTCCCTGTACAAATCTACATACACTGGCAACTGAACACTTCAGACATACGAACCGACATGAAACATAGGACGTTACCATTACATTTACCAACGTATATCTTGTATATCATGTAAAATACTATAAGTGTATTCGTATTCGCTCGCAATACGAAATAGTTTCACAAGCATTTGTAACTTAGTAAATGCGGACAACAGATCTCCTTCCACTTCCTTTCTTAAAATTTCCCTCTTAAATTCTTTTGATTATTTTACAGTTTTTCAGTTCGTATTATAGCAACTTTTTCGAAGCAGTTTCTTTTTCGAGGCTGTCCGGAATTAGCTCCCAGGGGCTTTATCAGGTGACGTCAGATGACGTCACGACCATGCGGAGCAAGCTAGAAAAATATAGTGATTTGTGAAACATCTGTGAAATTACAATCTGTGACATCGAGACAAATATAATCATTTTTATTCATTCTTTTGTGATTGTTGTGGATACTTTTACTTGGAGGCGATAATCCCCAACACTTGGCACCTCCGACGGGATTTTAGAGCTTGGTGAGTACACTTAAACAGCGAATTTTGGGACTATTTATCGTTCGTCTAATTCGAACTCGAGCATAAACATTCGCCTTCGGGGCGAAATTTGTCGACTATGGAGGTCGCTGAAGAGAAATTAAAGACAAAACTCGCTCAATTAAACTTAACAGCGAATAGAACAGCGTCTATTGTGGAAAAGGGGCATGTGGAAGCGATAGAAAGGCATAAAAATACACTGAGAACTGTGATAAATGAAATAGATCAATTGCGTATTGAAATCGAAGCGTACAAAATATCAGGGAAAACTGGGGACGAAGAATTAGATGCGTGGAATGAGAATATTGATACGCATATTGCAAAGGGTGATCAAAGCGTAGAAACCTTGAAAGATTGGCTAAATAATCGAAAGACAGAGCGTAAAACACACGAGAGAGAAGAGCAGATCCAATTCGAGGTCAAGTTGCAAGAGACCAAAGCTATGTTCAAGTCAAAACCTGAGAGAAATCAAGACAGTTCTCCCCAATCTCATAGCGAAGCAACAAATGTTCAAGCGAAACTACCTAAATTAGTCATCACTAAATTTAACGGGTCATTTACTGATTGGAACAGATTCTGGGGTCAATTTACGGAGTCAATTGACAAATCCAGTTTGCCAGCGATTACTAAATTCTCATACTTGAGGGAACTGTTAGAAGACAAAGTGAGAAAAACTGTAGAAGCGCTGCCATACTCAGCAGAGGGTTATGATAGAGCGGTAGCCATCCTTAAAGAGAAGTACGGGAAGGAACGGGAGATTGTTAAAGCTTATGTGAAGGAAATATTAGAGCTTCCCCCAGTTCACACAGCCAATGCAAGGAAGATTCATGAGTTCTGTGAGAAACTAACATACAATGTGCAATCACTCCAGACCATGAATAAACTTTCTCAAGTAGATGGAGCAGTGGCAATGACTTTAGATAAATTACCAGCTATCAGAGGAGATCTCGTTCGCACAGACCAAGACTGGGAAAATTGGGATTTTGTACAACTTACAGAGGCCCTTCGACTGTGGGCAAGAAGAAACCCGATCACTGAGAACTCCAACTCCGAAGACAAGGATCGAAGACGAGACAGAATGGGTCGGACTTACCACACTCGCCAAGGGACTGGGGCACAACGTGTGTGTGTATATTGCAATGCTACTGATCATAAATCAACAAGCTGCCCAACAGTTAAAACATCAGAGGAGCGCAGAAAAATACTAGCAAGTAAAAAACTGTGTTTCAACTGTACTGGAGCCTCCCACCGAGCAGCGGAATGCAAAAGTACTGTGACCTGTCACGACTGTGGTAGACGACATCACACCTCAATCTGTGAAAATCCAAAGAAACCTGAGGGGTTCATGTCAGCCCATAGAGCAGAAGACAACCAAGTTATTTATCCAGTGGTGGTCATTGAAGTTGATGGTATAAAAACAAGAGCTCTACTTGACACCGGCTCAGGGAGTTGCTATGCCTCAGCCAAACTTATAGATGCTTTGAACAAGAAACCGAGGGAGATCCAAACAAAACGGATTGAAATGATGCTGGGATCAACAACAACCAGAGTTGAAATCTACCCTGCAACTATCAAAGGAGCTGATTGTCAATTCACAATGGAAGTCGAACTATCCAAGGTCCATAAGCCACAACTGATGGAAATTGATAATCCTCGGTATGAAAGAGTTGTTAAGCAAGTACAGCCATTTGAAGGGAGTAAGAATAGATGATCCTGATGACAAACCACACCTTCCAATACATGTAGTTCTCGGAGTTAATGAGTATGCCAGCATCAAGACAACAACTGCACCGCGAGTTGGGAAACCTGGGCAACCCATTGCTGAACGTACTCGCTTGGGTTGGGTGCTAATGTCGCCTGGTAGGGAAGATGTGACCAGTCCCCTTCTGCTAACCCGATCAGTCAGTACAGACTATGAGCAGCTGTGCTCTTTGGATGTGCTAGGACTTGCTGACAAGCCAGAGAATGACCAAGGAACTGTATATCAGGAATTCAAGGAGCAACTACAACGAAACGAGGCTGGTTGGTATGAAACAGCGTTGCCTTGGAAGGCCAACCATCCGGAACTACCAACAAATGAAGTAGGCAGTCAGAGAAGGTTACGGCAACTTGTCAAACGGCTTGAGCGAGAGGGGAATTATGACGAGTACCACAGCATCCTTCAAGAACAGCTCGAAAGCGGAGTGATTGAAAGAGCACCCACAGTACCCAAAGGCAAAGAATACTACATCCCACATAAAGGAGTGTCCAAGAAAGAGGCAGAAAGTACAAAGTTGCGGGTGGTCTATGATGCATCTGCACGAGAAGATGTGAAGCATCCCTCCTTAAACGACTGCTTGAATCAGGACCATCACTTCAAAACATGCTATGGAACATCCTGATAAGATCACGTTTCCACCCGATCCTGTTGACAGGGGACCTCCAGAAAGCGTTTTTGCAGATTAGAATAAAGGAGGAAGAGAGAGATTCATTGAGGTTCCATTGGACACCACCTGGCTGTACCGAAACCCAAGTATACCGTTTCACAAGAGCCTTGTTTGGGCTAACTTCATCGCCTTTTCTTCTCGGGGAGTCCTCGACCAACATTTAGAACTGTGGGAACGCCAGTACCCTGAAATCGTTAAAGAGATTCGCGAAGGGCTGTACGTGGACGACCTAATGGTTGGCGGTGCATCAATTGACATTGTGCAAGAAAAGAAAGACACGTCCATCGAAGTTTTCCAAGACGCCTCTTTTACGCTTCATAAATGGCACTCAAATGCCAGAGAACTTGAAGCCAGCGGTAGTTCAGCAGCAGACGATGAATTGACCTATGCTAAGCAGCAGTTAGGGACGAGCCGACCGGGCACAAAGCTTTTAGGACTACCTTGGGACAAGGATAAAGACACCCTGAAGGTTGGGCTGCACAAAGATGAAACTATCACCACAAAACGAGGCGCTCTTTCTCAACTAGCAAAGATCTATGACCCCCTCGGTCTGGCCTCGCCAACGACCCTGCAAGGGAAATTTATTTACCGTGAGATGTGTGAAAGCAACATAGCCTGGGACGGTGAACTCCCAGCAGAGCTGAGAAAACAATGGATCGACTGGGTTTCCAAACTTCCTAGATACGTTGAAGTTGAGCGAACTCTGGCACCACATCATCAACCAATCTTAGAAATCGTATTGCACGCATTTGGAGATGCTAGCATAAAAGGGGTTAGCGCTGTTGTCTACGCGGTCGTCCGACAGGAGAATGGGACATCGCAAGGACTCGTCTGCTCAAAGTCTCGGTTAGCAAAGCGAAATTTAACCATTCCCCGGCTTGAGTTAGTGGCCGGTCACATGGCGATCAATCTGGTGACTAACGTCCGGTTAGCTATCAATCTATTCCCAGTGTCAGTACACTGTTGGCTTGACTCGACTGTGGCACTCTTCTGGATTCACGGGCACGGGGAGTACCGGCAGTTCGTTGCGAACAGGGTGCGCAAAATACAGGAGCATCAGGAGGTCAAGTGGCATTACGTGCCGACCAGTGAGAACCCCGCGGATCTGGGTAGCCGTGGCGGAAGTGTCGAACATAATCAACTATGGAACCATGGCCCGAGTTGGTTGAGCGAAGAAACTAGTTGGCCATCGGACAAGATCTTAGAGCCCAACGAGGAATCTAACGCTGAGTTAAAGGTGACTCGAAGCATCTTCGCAATGACAACTCACGTCCGTGATGACTTCGACCGACTACTTGATGCTTACGAAGTTCACAAGATTCTGCGAATTTGTGCATGGATTCGGCGATTTATCCGGAACTGCAGGACGAAAGCAGGGGTTCGGCAAGACGGCCCACTAGTCGCAAGTGAGATTGAACAACAGAGACTTTGGTGGATTAAACGAGCACAACTAGAATGTCAAGGAAGAGCCAGTTTCAAGGAAGAGCAGCTACAACTGAATCTGCAGCTAAACAACGAAAATATCCTTGAATGTAGAGGGCGAATTGAAGGAGAGTTTCCAATCTACCTGCCAGACAGTCATCCCTTTACGAACGGAATTGTACGACAAGCACACCTATTGACTTTACATGGGGGTGTGTCCCTGACAATGGCAAAGGTACGCGACGACTATTGGATTCCCAGATTGCGCCGTTTGGTCAAGAAAGTGAGGAGTGCCTGCTGGGGTTGTAAGAGATTTAGAGCACAAGCATATCAGGCGCCACCCCCAGGAAACCTTCCAAGCACACGGACACAAGGGTCTGCGCCATTCCAAGTAATTGGCGTAGACTTCGCTGGCCCGATTTACTATCAATCAAAACCTGGAACTGAAAACAAGGCATATCTAGCGCTGTTTGGTTGCAGCCTGACACGGGCCGTGTATCTAGATTTATTGAAGTCAATGGAAGCACCTGAGTTCATACTGAGCCTGAAACGGTTTATCGCACGTCGAGGCAGGCCAAAGCTTATTACTCGGACAATGCTTTGACCTTTAAGGCGACCAAGAAATGGCTCCGATGTGTACAGAAAGATGAACGTCTCAATGATTACCTGGCTGACCTTTCCATCAAGTGGCAGTTTAACTTGAGCCGTGCCCCTTGGTGGGGGAGGTCAATTTGAACGCTTAGTCGGCCTGTTTAAGAGTGCCTTTTACAAGAGTATCGGAAATCGGACATTAAGATGGAATGAGCTTGAGGAAGTTGTGATTGATGTGGAGGTCTGTCTTAACAATAGGCCTCTGAGCTATGTGGAGGACGATGTTGAACTCCCACTACTAACCCCTAACACGATGCTGACGATTAACCCTAACCACGTACCTGAATTAAAGGCGCACCACATGGACGAAGCAGATTTACGGAAACGAGCTAAGCATATTAAGAGATGCAAAGAAGCCTTGTGGAATCGCTGGACGAGAGAGTATATAAGAAGCCTACGCGAGCAGCATCGTCGTGCTGGAGGAGAACAAACCCCATACCCAACCGTTGGTGAAGTGGTTATTATAAAGGGTGAATCGAAAAACCGGAATATGTGGAAACTTGGTATCGTCACTGAATTGATAAAGGGAAGAGATGGAATAACGAGAGCAGCAAAATTAAAGGTTGGGACAGGAAACCTGGAACGTGCCCTTCAACACCTATGCCCTCTCGAACTGTCCTGTGATTGGCAACAACCACCTCGACTTAACGCAAGTGCGCCTGCGTTTCAACCACGACCAAAAAGAGACGCGGCAGCTGCGGCGGAATTGCGTATTCGACAAACGGCGGAAGAAGACAAAGAAGAATAAAGAAACAATAAGAGAAAAAAACATTAGAAACTTTGATATTTGACGTTAATGAATGTTGAACTTGCATGACAGACAGGTGTGACATGTATATCACTCCGTGTATATACATGGGGGAGTGTGTCCGGAATTAGCTCCCAGGGGCTTTATCAGGTGACGTCAGATGACGTCACGACCATGCGGAGCAAGCTAGAAAAATATAGTGATTTGTGAAACATCTGTGAAATTACAATCTGTGACATCGAGACAAATATAATCATTTTTATTCATTCTTTTGTGATTGTTGTGGATACTTTTACTTGGAGGCGATAATCCCCAACAAGGCATTTGCTTATTCTTCGATGCGTGTAGCTATATAACTTACGTTTCTTCTGTGTGTTATTTGTTTTTGTATATGTAAATATGTAATCGGAGGAATGCCTCGCATGGGATCTCGTGTCCCGTTTGCATTTTCTCCGTTTGAATATGTTCAATAAATTTGTTATATTAATTTCTGATTTTAGCGATCTTTTAGAAACCTTGTTTAGAAACTGTCCTGATCTATTCTGCCTTTGAATTTTTCTCTTCTTCGCAAGAAAAAGCAAAATCAGGACACGATGAATGTCCATGTCTTTTCGTGTAAAAATGATCACTTTCATTGCGCTATCTTTCGCTTAGTTCTAGTGTTATTTTTTTTTATTTTTTTGCGCCAAAAAATGCTTAACCTCTCCCGAAATAATTTTTAATTTTAACCTCCAACTTTGCAACCATAGATGTAGCTATCATTTAGTATATGTTTTCTAATCATGTACAAAGAGTTTTCTGGGTCTCAATTCATGCACAGGAAAACGTTATTTGCTTTTGATACGAATGTCGATTGTATACAACAGTCAGAAGATAATTTGCTGATTAAATGTATTTATACTGAACGCCAATCGAGTAAACGAATTATAGAATACCCACAACCGCTGCTGATACAGCGAAACAGACGCGGCATTAATGAAGTGAAGTTTAGCGTGATCCATACAGGAGGATCACAACAGTTATACCAGTTCTATCCAGCAAAAAGTGCAAATTCACTCACGTGAACTCAGGTTGTGCACTTATCAATGTGCTCTTCAAATGGCCGCCTCTCGTGCGATGCGAAGACTCGTTCGCAGCGAGGGCATTTGAGGGTTGCCGCTGGACCGTCACAGTCGACCTCGCAGCCGTGGCACAGCCCGCCAGGATGGCCGTTTCCAGCCTGAACGCGGGCGTGTAGTGGCTAAAAAACACAGCAGAACATTTGGCGTGAATACGACGCGATGCATAATGCAGTAATATGTTTAATTTCGCTCGAGAACGGAAGAAATACGAGTGCAATTAACCCCTCGTATCCAGCCTCGTACAATTACTTCAGGAAGAATTTTTCGCGCACTTTCTTTCGCCGCGTTTTTTTTCTCACTCGCTTAGCAAACAGTCGAGTACATTACACCAATGACTTCAATGACACTAACCTGCTGTTGTTGTTGATAAGCTATCTCCTGGATTTCTCTGGGCGAGTAACGATACGCTCTATTATCTTGCGGGTATGCAGGCTAGAATTGAAAGATATGAGATAAATGGAAATAAATCCAGTTTTCATTTTGTAATTAAAGACCTATCAAGTATATACGACAATGGCCAAGATGATTTTTCGATGGTCCACTTTTCCTCCCAAATACGACAACTGAGCATTGTTTCTGTCGGCTCAAAAATGGAGGTCGTGCTATCGTTCCAGTTTGCATAGAGGTCACTGGCTAATGTAGAAGAGAATCAAAAAGACACACCCTGTCACCTACCTGTCGACGAGGATGCATAGTGATGTAGTCAGCAGGCGGTACTCTGTACCACGGTTCTTCAGCAGGGACCTGGAGACGACAATAAGTACAATATAATAAGCGAAACTATCACAATACCAACACAGAGTACAGAGTCTGCCAGAGGGCTCGCTTAAAGCAATATTCGTCGACAAATTATCGATGATAGACAGGCTGTTCTCTTCTGAACTATAGTTAACACTTTCTATATCTTTCTATACAGACGGCCCAGACCTCTCACCTGGACATCCGGTCTCCTCTCCCTCAGCTGTCTCTGGAGTCTCTCCTTGTCGCGTCTTTCGTTGTCAAAATCATCGCGATAAATCTGAATCTGTGTTTGAACGAAATAAATGTCAACAAAACTAGTTTCAACACGCTAGTTTCTCATCAAGATGAGCGACGCAACAAACCTGTTCCTTCAGTAACTTTATTTCTCTTTCAAATTCCTTCAGTCGCTCTTTTTGTGCCTCTCTGTCAGCCTGAATACGCTCGCGATCAGAACGCTCGTTTGCAAAATCATCAGCATAAACGGCGACTTGCTGTTTTAACATCTCAATCTGCTCCGCATTCCCGTTCATCGATACCAAAGAGGAACTAGCCACAGGCTGTAAATGTTCGTAAAAGCAATAAGTACGCATTGTTATATAGGTTCTGTGTATTTTAAATGTGATTGGTTCATTCGTAAATGTTTTTGTTCCTATATAACAAAACACTTAATGTACACTATCTCAGGAAATAGTGAGTTTTGTTTTCCCTCGAGTCTCAATGTTTCCCTCGACTTTGTCTCGGGAGACATTCAGACTCTTGGGAAAACAAAACTAACTATTTCCCTTACACTAAGTGTATAATATAAACATAGTAGTGTGAGAATAAACATAGTTAAGGTCCGTTTCCACTGGCAATTTTTGCTGCGATTTTCTTCTTTTGGTAGATGTGAACGAGTGAACTATAGTTACTGATGTAATCGACGCAAGTAGATGAAAAATAGCTTACTTGCTGCGAGGAGGCCCCAGCGGAAGTTAATCTTTCAATTTCTTGTCGAAGTTCTGCTTGACTTTGTTTCTCGATTTCAAAGAGACCTTGAAGATGTTTGATGTGTTCCTCCGCCGCCTATTAATGCGAATAATATGTTCAAGAAAATTTCACTAAAAAAGGTTTTCTCCCGTTGATTTCTATAGAGATTTACTATTTCCTGTAGACACAGTTAAAGCATCAAAGAATCACAGTACCGTTCTCATCTGCAAGGCAGCTTCTTTGGCAGCTTTCTCTTCGCTGATCATTTTCTTGGCTGCTGCCCATATTTTATCACGTTTCTTCTGCTCTTCCACAAGCTCGTTGACTTTTTTAACGAGCTTGTCGTTTTCCATGGTTACCTCTTGAATTATCCTTGCACTGTCTTCATCGGGCTGCCGGGACCTTGGATCAGCATTCTTCGCCTTGTCCAGTTCATCAGCAAGTCTCGCTGTTATTTGCTCAAGCTCCGCCTTCTTCCGCGTCAGCTGCTCGATTACTTTCGTCATCTCGGCGATCGTGGCATCGTCGGGCGCTTGTCGTTGTGTCTCGTCGATTTCCCGCATTTTTCCAGCTCTCTGGCGGAGTTGCGAATCCAAACGATCTTTGTCAGCCTTAAGCTGTCGGTACTGATCGTCCCATTGATGATTTACCATTAAGAGCTGAAAGAAAACCAAATATTTTGAGCTCCACATTATCCTCTTTCTACAGTAATATAGCGACCATCAGCCGGTAGTATTTAGCTGTTTTCATTGGCTAAGCACAATCTAAGTTTTCGTCGAGCCAATCAAATTTCATGTTACATCAGCTTTTTCTAGCCGTACCTACCTCCTCCTTTTGTTTCATAAGTGAGTTAATTTGATCTTGCAAGGAATTCAAGGTTTCCAGCAACTAAAAGATTAATATCCATATATTATTTATAGTGAGGTAGCTACAATTTTGGAAATTTTCAAGTCCTTTGAATACTTGCCCATCCGTGCCCCAATAAATGTCATTATGATGAGATTTAGCATGAGGACGCGAACGTCAAAGACGACGTGAAAATGGCGAGTAAATGGCGTGGCATGTCCATATTTGGGCGCATCACGCTAGTTATTCGCCATTTTCACGTCGTCTTTGACGTTCACGTCCTCATGCTAAATTGCCCTACTAGTAATTGCCCTTTATTACTTAATTAAAAAACAGATCGAAATCTGTCTGATCGAAATCTCAAAATAGTCCAGGGGCCTTATTTGATTGCTATACTCTTTGCAGAAACACGCTAATAAAATTTGAAAGCATCACACGATGGCGTGTGTACGTTTCCATACTTCTTCGATACGTTTGTCCCTCAGATCAATCACTCGCTGAGCTTCACGTAATTTCGCTGAAGGACTCAACGAGACATCATCACCACCGGCTCTGACCAGTTGAAATTGTTCCATCGACGTTGTCTGTAGCCGATCCTAAATATAATTGGATCAATCATGAGAGATATGACATAAGCATTGTGATTGGTTTATCTGACAGACTTCTGGCATTTAATTGGTTCATGTTCTCTCCTCTCGCTAGTCTTTTTCGATCGTCATTGGTTAATCAGGTAGACTTCTGGCATTTGATTGGTTCATATTCCTTTAAATTCAGTTCAAATCTTTACCTACACGATAAAAAGCGTTAATACTTCATCTTACCGGACTATAACCACGGGGAACATCTTCTGGACGTTTCTCGTCTTTTTCTTTCATTTGTTTCTGAATATATTCTAGTTCGGCCTGTTTGCGGTGCAACTGTTCGTCGTATTTCTCGATAAGTTTAACCTATGAAATACCAAAGCCACTTGTAAGTAGAGATACCAAGATATGTGGACAGCGACCTGACCAGCATGAAAAAATACGAGAATGATAAAGTTGAAGACACACAGATTGAATCACTTGACGTCGATAGCTACCCACTAATACACAATATATACGGCACAAAAATTCACGAAGCGGTTTAACTGAGTGTGGGACTATAAGTTAGAACTTGTAATAATATTTGTAAGTTATTTGTCGGATACAAGTGCAACCGGAAATTTGGAATATTCTTTCAAACATATCTAGCTGTAGCAAAGATATATACGTTTCTAGAAGAGGCTTTAAACAACTAAAAAGTTGGTTGGATACACTTGTAGCTATCTGGCTATGTGAAAACTGAAACTGAACAGAAGGAATTTATTGAAGAAATGTCTAATAAGCTATTCGGTGGTATTTTAGCTATTCGGCGGACCAAACGCCCCCATGCACAATGACTCGAAGAATGTCAACAATTAAGAGTTCCAGCATAGCGTTCGTATGTTATGTTCACATCGAAAACGCTAGGCGCAGAGACAATTTACGTTGGATATAAAAACGAAATGTTTTTCTGATGTATAGTATATAGGATCATTGACGAATAACAAAAGCGTATGAACTGCGCAAAATACGCAAATTTCTAGCAAGAAAGATTAAAGTTTCTTACCACAACTTGCTCGTATTCCGAGCTTATGTTTTCCTCTTTTATTCGAAGCCCTTCAAAATCCCACGATAACTGGTTCTCGATAAGAGCTTCTGTATTTCCTGTCGGGACTTCGACATGTCCTAATCCGCTAGATTCCACGGAAAAAGAATTGTCTTGATGCGCCAATTGTAAGATTTCCTTTTCAACACCATGAGTTTCCTCACATTTGGCCTTCAAACGCTCGCCTTAAAATACAGAACGTATGGGAACTCTATATAGGATGAACAATTTAGAACTGACAGTATAAATAAAATTATAGTTTAGTTTAGGTCTCCTCCTGTAGTGACCCTGGATCAATAAGAGATTATCTTTACTGGACCTCTAGGAAGAACAGTTTAGAACTGATAGAGTTATCCAGTATAAATAAAGTTAGTTTGAGATAGAGCTATATCCAGTACAAATTACAGTTACAGTAGTTTATGTTTCTTAGCTTCTGCATGTATAGTAACACTTCATCAATAAGAGATGATCCTTACTGGACCTGGAAGAAGAACAGCTTATATAGAGCTATCCAGTATACAGTTCTTGTGAATTTCATCTGCAGTTATAGAGGAGTATATATATATACATCGACACTACGTCCTTTCATTCCATACACAAACACTTACGAAGTTCGCAGGCCTTTTGTTTCAACCCCTCTAATTCAGTTTTCTCCTGGGATAGGCGATCGTATTTCTCGGATAATTTGCGACTGTAATCATTTTCAACAAACGTAGCACGATCGTGATCAATGTCCATAGTAAAACTCTTGAGTATATATGTAATTAGGCAGGATCTTTACGTAAACAGTGCATTACTCTAGACCAGAAGAAGAAAAATAAGATATATGATATGATCTCTAAAATAAAATGTGCGGGTATATAAGCAATTTCGGGGAATGTTTTTGCCAGAAATTGAAACTTGATGGCGCAACACAGCTGTTTTGAGGCGAAAAGCATGGCATGCAACGGATGCAAATATATTAAACGCAGTTTTTCGCCTCAATGTGCGCAATAGTTGTGTATATAGATTATAGAAACTAGCTCAGCAAAGCTTTCGTTTCGATCGCTGGATTACATTACGTCATGTATCGAGAGTTATAATCATCGCATCTTAAAGGATTACTTCATCGCAATATCGGGCAAGCCCGCGTGTGTCTTGCTGCATGACGGCATCTGTTTTCTCATCCACCAATTGTTTAAAATATCAAGTTCAACGTTCGCCACAGCTATTACAACTCTTGTTGTATCTATACATACAGTTGAAGTTCTGCAGGATCTCTTGGCTGGCATCAACAGATGCAATTTTAAACATTGGATTTCAATACTTAATATCGATGCTACGAATTCATGAAGGGTAAAAATAAAATATGATGACTTTGCATAACTCTAAGGTAGCCTTTGTAAGATATTCTGCAAATGCATCATAAACTTTGTAATAAAACTTAAATACATTCCGTAGTTTTGAACCTAACTATATTAGTAATACATGAATTTTCTTTGGCTTTGCATGCCTTTGTCGTGAACGAACTCTACTGCATGTACGTATATTTATAAAAGATATACTTGCACACATGTATACTATAGATCTAAATATTTCTTAAGTACTTCATCATGCTAAACGAACAGGGCTATAGTGTAACCACGTTCAGCGAACACGCGCGTTCAACGAGGAAAAAATCACGATAACCATTATTTAAGTAAATACTGAAATATGATACTGAACATAGGACTTACTTGGTTAGTACAAACTACGGGTCAAAATAGATGCACACACATATATATAGGTGCATGTTTCTTCATTCCCTCACGGAAATAGGTAGGAAATAGGTAAAAACACTAATGTCATCAATCTATTTTTAAATTGCGTAACATGCATGACTGAAAAATTATTTATTGTAATTACGTATGTAGCTATTACGATGGAATTTCCCGGCAGGTATGCTATGACGCAATCTTTCTAAATGATGCAATCTTTTTTAAAATTAGCATATTGTTGATGAGAGCTACTGTAGAGCAAATATCAATCATCCTACTTAAGTATAAACACAAGACGAACGGTATCTAGACGAACTATGTTATATTGGATTTTTTGGCGAAATCCGCTGAATGCGAGAAACGAAGTATCGGTTATTCCGTAGTTCGTTCACATGCCCGTATTTATACTCACAGACGGATGATCGGTCCAGACCCGTCCAGACGAACTACGCGTGCAAGTTCATCTAAATAGACGAACTACGCAGATAATTTGTCTTGACGGATGATCCGTCTGTGTTTGCCCGTGTTTATACACAGGCGAACTAGAAGACGAACTATCTTTCGCTTACCCACGTTCGTCCAGACGGATGATTCGTCTCTAGTATAAATCGGGCCAGTCACATCGCTTCGCGCGTCGCTCGAATAAATTCGCCTAGTGCAGAAAACGGGTTTTTATATAAAGTATCCGCTTTCGAACAGCAAATCTTATTCGTTTAAAGAGAAAGTAGCTATCTCTGTAATTTTTCTCCTCTGCCGGTATTTCCCCATTTTCATTCCTGTTCTTGACGGAAAGCACTCAAAAAATTGCAGGTTGTTTGAACAAACAATGTTAGCTACATGGATTAAATATAAATTTGACAAAACGAAGAAAGATTATACGAAGTCATTTACGACTTGTGAAGTCTGACGCATTATAGTTCAGCGATTCTTGCGTTGTCAGAAATTTGTCAATTTTTTGTCAAAAAAGACGAAGTTGTAAACCCGAATTACACTGCAAAATACACGCTCTTAAAGATATTAATGCTGTGACGGTGTAAAAATGATTTCCATGACAACAAAATGGTGTAAAATGTCACTGACATTGTACTAGCGTGTGAACAAGCTTTTTCCCACGGATGCTGAAAAATTTCCAGAAATTTTGCAAGAAATACTGCTTAAATTCATTTTGAATATAGACGAGTAAGCCTTGCCAATCGGCCGTGAAATACACAAAGACGATATTCCCGGCGCTTTATTAAAGTGTTATGAATATTGAAGAGTGAAAATTCGAGCAACCAAAACGATATTACAAAAGTTACTGAGTCATTTCGCAAGAAATTTTGAGCCCAATTAAATTAAACTATACGCTACGAAAGTACAGCTTTTCTATATGAACACATGCACGTTTAAAACGAGGAAATGTTCAATTTAAAACGGAACTGCCTGCACGGGAATGTCCCTTTCGGACACGAGAAGAAATGGCGCGAGAATATAATGAAAAGAGGAACATTTTCAACCAATGAAATGTGGCATGTTTTAAAACAATTTAGCTTAAACGGAACTCAAAAAATTCTATATACGCCAATATCGGTCTCTAATTCATCCTAAATGCATATTATTCGACCTAAACTACCAATATTATCAAATATATAATTACAAAAATGCTGAGCGGAAACAGCATTCCGCATTTAATGAAATAATGTGATAAAAATTTTAAATTTAAACAAAAACATGTTCGAAACGCTGGCAATGCGGCTAAAAAATAAAGATTTTACTAATTCGAAAATTATTTCTACTTACTTTGACATTAAACTGGTTAAAGAGCTAAAACCTAAGTTACTAAGAAACCGTTATGTTTGTTAATAAAGACAGTTCAATCTATTCAGTTCTTATTATAGATACATTAGTCATTATGACAAATCGTCGTTAATTGAATGCCTTACTGATGGCATTCCAATGAAATGAATTTAGTTGGACCGCAATCCTTGTAAGGTAAATAAGGAAAACTCCAGCCCTTGCTATTTTTGTCTCTTCTCCATGAAAAAAATCGACTTGGCTGGAATATACAGCTGTGTCGTAGTATGATATCCCTTATCTTTATAAAATATGACACATCTTGAACGGTGAAAACAATCTTTCTCGTCATAACACAGCTATTTTATCCGCATTTTGCTAGCAGTTTCTTTGAAGCAGTTGAGCATTCCATTCTAGTGAATATTTTCTATCGAATTCCAAGATTCAGCCGGATATTTTTCCAGACAATTCGTAGCCTAACTGTCACAATAGATTCCAAGTGCCTACTCAGGTACTCATAAACAGTATAATAGACGTTTCTCGCTTTCCTATTTTAGTCATCAGTGATCAGTTCTATGTAAAAGTACTCAGCACCCTGATTGCATGACTGACTAAACAAACTGTGGTTTATATTATTCATGACCACTGGAGCCAATCTTGCCTACCAATAGGAATCTAAGATTCCCATGGTTATATTATGCTAAAAACATTTTAAAGTGCACATTCGTTATAGCTTTAAGCACTACCAATAACAGTTCAATATAAAAGACTACTTAAATCCATAAGTCTTGTTTTCATTTGGCTGAAATTATCATGGACAGGTATGAAGACGGTTGATGCAATACAATCAGGGTATTGCTGCAGTCAATAATGACCAATTTGAATATAGAAAAAACACAATTTAACATTAACATACCAACTATTTCACATGAATGGAAATATCATTTGATCACAATATTGTAATAAGGTAATATACAAAAATTTGGTTTGATATCTTCCTTCCCACACTTCAAGAATTACTCACACAAAGATAAATCAATGTAATTTAAAAACATATTTCATATACCTCTGTTCAAGAGTTGCTTCATCAGTTTGTCAATATACAACTATACCAATACGCAGTTTACAACTGCCAATTAGAAATTTCAAATTGTAGTCCTTATTTGTAAACAAATCGTATGATTGGCTACTAGCAGAAGTTATTCATTAAAACTAGGCAACCAACTCATAGAACAATCACGTGTGACAATATAGTAATATAGTAATATAGTAATAGTACTAACTAGAAATCGCTTAAAAGCCACGGAAGTTCAACTTAATATTTGAATGCAGCTTTGAAATATCAAGAATAGTTTATAGTTTGAACAGTCTATGTTAGAAGTCGGTATTACTAAACAAAATTTCAATTATATTGCATCAACAATATTCATCAGAGCAAGTTTCACAAGTAGCTAACTTAATATCACTATACCACCACAGTATTACATAACTGCGGAACTGGCCATTTGTAGAATTGTAGCCGAAATCGGCCAATCAAAATCCAAGAAGTATGCAAATTCAAGAACTTATATTGAAACAAAAGGCTTTCAGTCTGCGGTTTCATTTAACACCTTTTCCAGATGTTAGATATAATTGAACACAGAGTTTCCGAGAAATAATAAAACATTTAAAACAACATGTTACAATACCATTTCTTGAAATTGAACTTCTTTTCCCTGAAATCTTTATGTTCTTGAACACAGTATTTAGTTGTAATAGAAGAACAGCATATTGTCTATTCTAATCGCAGGAAACGTGTTGTTATATAAGTGGATAGAGGAAATTAAATATGTAGTTTAAAAGGTTTCATAATCCTAAATAGAACTGGCCATTTCTGGTCGCACCACCTAACTTGGTTAAAATGACATCAAATACTTTCAAGAACCATCAACGGATGAACCTTGCGAGACATCGCCAGAAATAGGCATTTGAAACAGGAAACTTTATACAAAATAAATACCTCTTTATACACATGATTATAATCACACCACAGGTGAAAAATTTAAATATTCAAATTATAGCGACTGCAATTTAGATTTTAGTCTTTTACATATTTACTTGTCACATAAAAGGGAAAACTAGGCTTATATAGTTAAGCCCCAAAGGCGAACAATATGTATGAATTCCGTCCGAATAGAATATAAAAGACCCGTAAGTACCAGTTGAAAGTGACACCGGCTTGCATAAACATTCTTTACGGAAATTCAATACGCCCATTAATATCCATGGCGTCGCTTCTTACAGAGGGATTTTCCCATGCCAGTGGCGTTACTAAGAATCTGTCTCAAAAGTAGCCCAAATTCTTTGCAAATTCGCATTACAACCTACCGTTTTAAAGTACAGCGAACGCGCTTTCGAATGCGCGTAATTTCCGCACTTCAAACGCTACGAAATCGCAATAATTTGGACAAACATTTGATAAACGTCTTAGCACAAATGCACTAACCTGTAAACGACTTCGCTGCTACAAATCGTTGTGAATTCAGCTTGCCTCCCGTGTGTAAGTTCATACACAACGGGAAGAAGCTGAAAAGATCATTTTTGAGTAAAATCCACGAAAAATCCGTGGTTCAAGAACTTCTGGGAAAGACATGAGTCTACACGACCCGAAAGTCGAAACAGTCCAGTTTCTATGTGTTTTTAAAATAAACATACGCAGCCCAGAAATGTCAAGTTCTCGTGGCTATCGCGCGTGTTACACGAGAAGCTTCGGGGGATTGTTATGAAATTGTGGGGTTTGCAATTAAAACGATGTAATTTTTTATTATTTTATTTGTAATTTGCGAGATGTTCAGGCTCCAGCAAGCGTTGTACTAAATTTGAGTAAAAAATTTGCCAACCTTATCATAATCATAAATCATAGACCGAGTAGACTCGTGGGACACACGCGAGGGCGACGAGAACGAAACTGTGACTTTCGATTTTATCGCCCTGATTTTATCTGATTGTTGCCAAGACTAATAAATCTTTTATAGTTGAGTCATACCGCATAAAAACCGCATAAAAATCTTATCATCCCTCGGACAGTTCGTTTAATCTCTTTACAAACCTCATAATCAAAGAATGAACTTAGGAATGCCATTGCTTTGACAGGTCTTTCTTTTTCTTGATAAAGACATTTCCGGCAGCCGCTGTCATCCGATTAATTTAAATCGAAAGTAGATACAGGCTTCATCCTCACGTGACCCAACCATTTTCATTTTCCATTTCTGAGAAATTGAAGACATTCCTAGCCACGTGCCCCTGGCTGTCTTATATCTAAGCGCCCTCGTCTTATATTATGTGCATGTCCGCTAAACTCAAAGTGCATGCGATTTAAACCAATCAAAGTCTGCGTATCACAAAAACCAATCAAATTTCAGGATGTGACGTTATAAAAACGTAGATATAGAAACAGGAAAATAAATTTGTGACGATTTAAGGGGGTTCAATTTAAGTTACTACAGTTGATTGACCAAGGTTATTTACATATTTTTAATATCATGTTTCAGCAAACATGAATTCAGCATTTAAGTTCCTATAAGCCTTTTTTTATTTTTAGGTAAACTAAGATAACCCCTGTTATGTCATATTTCATGTGACTGGTTGACAATTGACCATTCACAATTCAGCATGGGTTAGATCACCCGATCACCCATACAGGAATTGTGATCAAAGTGCAATTCAACTAGCATTGTTTGGTCTATATTGTTTAGTAACGCTTAAACGCCTGTCATATGATTGAATTTCTGCATGATCGAACTTCGAAGATGATGTTGATAGCAACGTTGTCGACCAAATAGCTCAATGCGATCAGACCAAATATAATACTTATCTTTCAAGTTGAAACTGAGAAGGAAATGTGGCAGATTTTATCGAATATATAATAATGCACAAAAATATTGAGTCTATAATGCTACTTGACACTGCAATCACGTGCTCTTACTTAAATTACTTTCCAAATTATTTTGCTTAATCCTCCAAGTTTGATCTGCTTTGATTTTTCCCAGATGAGGATAAAACTTGCCGTCTCGCAGGCTATACTATAGCACCATTTTTAGCTCTACTCTGATCTTGACCAGACATCTCATGAATCAGTAAACAAAACGAGCTAAATTTATGCATCCATTGTACATCCGCAAAAATATCGTGTATATACGTTGATGCATAAGAAGATTGCATCATTTAGCCATTAGTCCTTGGGTACGAAATTTCTGCATTCACCAGAATCACTGATCACCATGCATATGCCTTCATTAGGCGAAAATTGACTTAACCCAATTCAAGTGCCAGCATGCCCTATTTTGGCCGAATTTTAAGTTCTCCCGTACTTGATTAATCTACTTTCCATATTATATAAATAATAATATATCATAACTTACCAAAATTGTCGTGGTAAAAAAGATCTCTGCTGGATCATCCATGGCTGGTATAAGTTTCTGTTGGAGAAGAATTAGAACCGATATTAGATCTATATTAAAGACCTTTGCTCTTGTTTACATATCCTGATTTTTTTACACCATAATATATATATAGGTCTCACTATACTAAATTTAAATTCTAATTTTAAAGAGGGTTTTATTTCCTTCAATGCAATATTTATAAAAACTTATCATGTAATCGGTAATCCTTTATTTTTAGGTTGCCCTTGACTAAACTTTCACTGTACATCATGTGAGCGGTACCATGTTGATATTTGGACGCGTGTTTGGTGTTCTCTTTGTAACCCCTGCCTGAGCATAGGTTGAATTGCGTACCAGTGTCACCCGTGCCAATAAATTGAGCGTAGTGTAAACGGAGCTAGATAATTTCGCTCACTTTCACCATTTCGCCGGCCAATACATGTTAAACATTAAAAAACAGTAAAGCTAATTCTCACTATAACTCTTGTTTTAAGTGACGTTATTCACGTCGCTCGGCGCTCGCTGTAAATGAAGTGCGTAAAAGTCTAAAAGAGCGGCTTCAATGCGAAATTTTTTACCAAGAATCATATATATATACAATTAAGTCCGGTTGCGATGTTCACACAAACATTTTCAAATTATATCAATGCCGGTCCTGGCTTACTTTATACTTCTTTTCTGTCTCTTGAAATAAACCGCCATACACTTTAAGAACGTTCAGTTGGATATGCATGGTTATGATTGTACATTACCACGAATACGCTTTATAAACAACATTCGAAGTACAAAATCCTCGCGTGTCCACTTGTTGTTGTATTAGACTTCTTGCTTTAAACTGTGGTTGCTTTAAACTTATTTACTACGTGATCCGTTTATTGTCAATCTGACGTATGTAGAATGACGTACATTTATGAAAACGTGAGTGTCGCCACCGGCCTTTACAACATGTTGAAACGCACGGCTGCTTGGAAAGAAACTATAGTAAGTATAGTTACTATACTCAGAGTCTCAGACTACTCTAGAAGGAAATATACTAAAATGTTTATCGGAGGAAGTTTTTCGGCTGCGAAAGAGAATGGTTTATTATAACTTCCTATAGTGTGTATAATTCAGTAAGTTCTTGTGTTTTGAAAAAAGGGACTCTCCCTCATTCACAAAATTACGCGTCGGACAGACAGCGGCACAGCAAAGTGAAGACTTCAAGTATACAAGCTAGCTGTTAGCTAGTAAACAAACAAGGAATATTTCGATCTTTACGATCTGCGATGAAGGAACAATGTAGCTACAGGAGTGGTTCAATAAAACGCATTGATGATCACTGATTCATATGTCAATTGTAGTTACGAAGCCTACATTTATCGTGAAACTTCCGAGCAGGAACTGAAACAAATAAGGAATCTAAAAACAGCAATTACAACACAGTATCGCTCTATGCCTCTATCGATCGCGCCTTTCATGTATATAATGCGCATAATAAAAAATATAAACATAGCTGTAATTATAAACTTTGTTATTGTTACTCTATTGTCTATAAAAACTAAAGTTCATTTCACCTATCGATGGATTAATTTATGCCTGTATGTTGGTTGTTATATAAATGAAGAAGCAATTTTATCAACCAACTGAAGTTTACAATACCGTTATTTTACATCACGGAAGACGATTTCACAAGGACGTTTCGGGATGTGCTGCACCCTTATTCAAAACGTGATACCATGCATATAATTTATCACCGGATTATACTAGTTGTGCTGTGATTGTGCTTCTGCAGCAAAAAGCACACGGGTTTTCCTGTTTGGAAAACAGCCATAGCTTTGTTCATTGTATTCGCAAACACGCGGACTTCACGTTTATCCTGCATGTTTAAGGTGCTAGGTAACTGCCGTATATCACCTGCCACGCACGCATATCAATAACGCCTTGAAAAATCGCGCTGAATTCTGAAGGCAAAGCTTTTATCGCCAAGATGAAGTGCACGTATATATATGGATAAGGACTAAGGTTATTCAACACCGATTTAGATTGTGGTATTCTGTAACACGCGTTCTGCCAATAATGAAAGGCAACCCAACTGACCTTTTTAACATCTTTATACTGAACTTACCGAAAGCTTCGTGGTATAAGAGTTGTAGATAGAAGTAACGGATAGTGATAATAAAAGAAACCAGACAAATTTAAAACAAACTGTTTCACCATGTTCTTCACAAAAGAGCGCTAATCATTTTCTTGTCCTAGCTGTCTTGCTAAGAACAAGCCTCTGAAGTCTGAACAAATTTGTGTGACAAGTTTATATTATATGTATACTTTATCACGTGGATATATATCACTCTTTTCTTCGAAAATCTGATCGTCAAATTCAAAGGTCGTTCGCAGTAAGGTAGGCGGAAAATGATCTTTTAAAACTTATGTTTAATCAAAATCGATGTTAGCCACGAGATTAAGGCCTGTTTTCCACTTCAACCGTATCGTAACGTAACGTAGCGTATTTCTTTGTTTCCCAAGTATTCGACGAGAATTAACGACCTTAAAACAATGAGATACGCTACGTTTCGCTATACGATACGGTTGAAGTGGAAAACGGCCTTAACGGATCACGAACCTGTTGAGACAGAAGCCAGACACACATAGCCCTCAAATAACCAGAATAATCCACTTTCGTAAACAATTGACAACACCTCTTGGTAAAACCATTTACTTCACATATATATATAACATATCGTATGAAATTTGAAGCAAAATTTCTCTCTTGCAATTAGATATTTTCTAAGAAAAGATCGCTGCACTGACTATATGGACTTTATTCATCAAATTTTCCTTGGTTGCATCAGAGTATAAAGAGCTGAAGCAACTCATTGTAATTCATTGTCACTTAAAAAATCTTCTTTGTGACGTGTCCGTCCGTTGGCGTCTTTCATCCAAAGGTTTAAATTTGATCTGCAAATATTGGGGGCGGGAAAAAGTGGGCGCGTAAAGACACTTCGGCCATATCAGCTAGTGGGCTAAATCCGAAATATGAATCATATATGCACCTTTTCCGGAATTGAAATACTCCACGGTTGAACGAGGCACCATCACTTTCGTTATATCTACAAAGGTTATTTCCTCACGTGAATTCAGTTTCAATTGCTATATGCAAAGGCCTGCCAGCCTGGAAACTTAAAGAAGACAGACGACCCCAACTTTCGAGTAGATTCACCACCACCTCTGTGTAATCTTGATTACAGGTGCAACATCGCTCTCCCCCC